AAAAAAAAAAAAAAAAAAAGCTACTAAACTCACATGATGTGCCCCTTGGAGTAAGAGTTGGATTCGATTCGAATGATTTTTCCGCGAAACAACTCAGCTGCAGCAACATCCAACCAAATCCAAAAGGATGCCAGGGGAACCAAAGTCTGCTTGGCTGGCAACATTAAATCATGGTTGATTTAACCTATACATCACCCATCGAACATGAAAACGATTTCATGATATGTATGTCTCAAAACAAGAGTGGCAGTCACTTCACTCAAGAAGGCCACCGACATGTGTTTGAACTCCATCACATGTTGGCGCAACTTGTTTTCATGTGACCAAGAAATATTCCATAGTATCAAAACCCGATCAAACAAAACTCAAATACTTTCAAGCCAGTATGTAAATGGGTTATGCCGAAACGTTGCCTTTGGCTTTGACTTATTGGTTTCATGACTTTGATGCATTCATCTTGTCATTTCTTTTTTGGCTGCTGGATTCAAATTGAATTCAGGACAGCGCTCGACTTGTGCGTCACCGCAGGCATGAAGCAGCCCTGTGAAAATTTGCTTGCTGCTGCATGAACACATACTGAAGGCCTTTGCCAGCTGACAGCAAACATCTCAGAATCACTAAGAAGATGCAGTCCAAGTATCTGCTTCTGGCTTTGGCTCTTCAGCTCATTGATTTGGGCCTGTGCAAACACTGAGTCGTAATGGGAAGCAGGGGAAGCAAAGCTCTTTGCAGTGCACTGTACACTCGGGATGTCTTGCTTCCAGTGTATTGCGGAGAAGCCGCTGTCAGCGTTGCCACTTGGTGCACAGCAGCCTTGGGGGAAGCGCAGAGACAAGCGAGCAAACAAGCCGCTTCAGGCCTGCTGCGAACCCATCATCTTCAGCAAGGCAGTGTTCTCATCTTCAAGCTCTGACAGCTTCCGCTCTAATTCTGCTCGGCTGGCTCGTTCTTCTTCAACTGCCGGCAGCTTTGCCTGCTTTGCCCCAATGTTTTCAACTGGCTGAACAACTACCTGGACACCGAATGAGCCAGAACTTCGTCCACGAACCTTCATGCATCCCCCACCCCGCAACCCAGCTCTCCACCTCACATGCCCCCCAGCTGCTGCAGGCGGAAGTCTCACCAGCACTTCCCTATCTCAGCATATTCGCAAACGTAGAAAGTCCCGTGTACTGACCAAATCTCATTACAACCCAGAACCTGCAGAAACAAGCTGGTTGCAGCTTTGCTACTGACTGAACAAAATGGACACTGCTCCTTAATTAGCAATCCAGAACATGCCCTACCTGCTGAGAGCCCGTCATCTTCAAGAGCGCCGCGTTCTCGTCCTCCAGTTCTGACAGCTTTCGTTGCAGATCTGCTGCTTTGGCCCGCTCTGCATTGGCTTCTGCTGCCATTTGGGCGTACTTTGCCTTTTCAAGCGCCAGGTCCTCTTCCAGGCTCGGGCTTTCCTCCAAAAGCTGGCAGAAAGCATTCAGCTTCTTTGTCGCTATCCCTCGAGCACCACGCAGAGGCTTCAAGACGCTTAGCTGAATGTGGTCAATGCTACAAGCTTCCGTTTACTTCTCCAAAGATCTGCTGGCCAACGTGATACATGACAACCATGATGCCTTGCTATGCTCACTTTGCGAGAGTTCTGACCGGTCTAGCTGCTAGCTTTCTGAGCCTTACGTGTTGGAGCTATTCTAGGAAGCGTGCCTGCTGAGAGCCCGTCATCTTCAAGAGCGCCGCGTTCTCATCCTCCAGTTCTGACAGCTTTCGTTGCAGATCTGCTGCTTTGGCCTGCTCTGCATTGGCTTCTGCTGCCATTTGGGTGTACTTTGCCTTTTCAAGCGCCAGGTCCTCTTCCAGGCTCGGGCTTTCCTCCAAAAGCCGGCGGAGCTTGTCTTCCGCGTGGGCGCATGATGCTAGGCGAGCTTGAAGCTCCGACGAGCTGCCTTGCAAACGCTGCACCTCCTGCTCTAGAGCACGTTTTTGGGACTCCAGCGTGCTGCAGAGCACCTGCAGCTGCTCAAGCTCTGGCGGCTCGAAACGATCACCTTCCAACAACATCATCTTCTTTCGTAGCTCCGCAACTTCTGCCTGCAAGGTTGCTTTGTCTGCCTGCAGTGCCTCACACCGGGCACGAAAGGCCCCCGAGCCAGAAGCTGGACTCTGCTCGGATCGGCTGGGGCTGGTTGCAGCGCTTGCAGCGCTCGCCTCGTCCGGCTTGGCGATGCCAAATGCTTCCCTGCCAAGGACAACAGATCTTGCAGAATACCAGACATTCCTTGTGTCAAAGAGCTAGACAAGATTATACTTAGAGCTCAGAAGGGTGCATACTCTCATGCGAGCCAAATTTCTAACCCGCTGCAAACGAGATCCAAGGATCCAAGATAGCTCAAGCATGACACGAGGCTATTGCTCAATCATTGAGCTGCTGTACAGTAATCGATGCAACAGCACTCTGCAGCTATGTCAGCAGAGTGGCGATGTGTGTTGACATGTTAAAATTATAAGTTGCCGCTTGACCGCGGTTTAGAGGAACTCCAGCTGCCTGTTCTGCTGCATTGCTGGCCCTAAACCAGTCAGAAGGCATTGGACGGGCTAGGCCCATACATCTTCGATGTATCTGCCAGACTCCACCATGGTTGCAATCATGTTGGCAGCCGACGAGCTGCTCTTCCCTCCAGACTCCACCACCTTCTGGAAAGCACGTTTCACATCGGGTGCCATGGCACGGGCATCTCCGCAAATAAACACTGTACACTTTGGGTCTTGCAGGAGCTTCCACACCGCTTCCCTCTCTTCCCAAATCTTGTCTTGTACGTAAACTTTTTGTCCGGACTCGCGGCTGAAGGCAACATGAAGTTTGGAGAGAGCCCCGGATTGCAGATGACCCTGCAACTCCTCCTGGTACAGATAGTCTTCATCCCTGGCACGGCAGCCAAAGAAGAGCGTTGCATGTCCAACCTTGATGCCCTTCTTCAACAAGGCCTCCCGCTGTTGCAAGAAACCCATCATGGGCGCCAATCCAGTACCGGGACCCACCATGATGATGGGAGCGGACCTGTCTTCAGGCAAATGAAAATTTGACTGCATAGTCTTGACGTTGCCTGGAATCGCCTCCCCAACTGCCATGTTTCCAAGCTGTGTGGATGCCAGCCCCCGATGAACACGGCCTGTGCCGGTCGTGTAAACAACTTGCCCAACGGTCACTGTGACAAACCGTTTGTCTTGCAGGCTTTCCGGATTTGAGGATACACTGTAGCGACGTGGAGCGAGAGGCTTTGCGATCATTAGAATGTCTCCAACTTGGCATTCAAGCTCTGCCCGGTACTTGTGAATCAATTCTGCGAGCGAAAGCTGAATCGACGTGACTTTCAATTTGTGTTGTTCAGCATCACTTCCAAGCAAGGTGAGCTCATCCTTTGCAGGGCTCTTGGCAAGCTGAGCTAGGGCCGCACATGCTTTCCGACCTGGAGGACTTGCCAAATCAGGGAAGTATCGCAGAACCAAGCCAGCTGTCAGATGGACTGGTGGCAGCTTTTCCCACCATCGTGCATCCTTTCCAAGATTTACGTTGCGCCATTTCTTCTCCACCTTGTGGAGATTCCAGCGTACTGCAGCATCCTCGCGGAGTTGCAGGGCTTCCAGAACCATTTTGACCAAAGCTGGATCATTTGGAGGCAACACTTCCAGGTGGTCCCCTGGCTGGTATCCCGGATGATTCTCTGGGAGTTTCAATGTTACGTGACGTACGCTTCGAGCATCCGCTTTCTTGCACAGCTCCCGGCTTGGCAAAGCGACCTCTGAATCAACAATTTTTGGGGGGAGACAAGAAGATATAGGGAAAATATAGGGATAACGGAAAATACAATGGAAACTACTGTTTTACATTACGGTTATATTGGGGTTATGATATGAGTAAAGTGCGGACATGGGCTTGCCACGTCCACAGCAAGAGAAGTTTGCAGCCAGGCCACCTCGAGAGGAAGGTTCCGACTTGGAGGTGGATTAGTCTCGCCAAGCAGCTTGGACACGCTTTTCATGGCATCATTGATGGCAGCAAGTCCACCCTTGACATCTGCGCTGACGCTGATTTTGTCCAGAGGGCCATCCTCCAAAACAAACTCGTCCTTTCCAGCATCGTCGTCGGCAGCAGCTACATCTGTTGCAGTTGCTCCGCCTATTCTCTGCAGCAGGTTGGCAAGCCAATCTTCAAAGTCAGAATCAAATGAAGCGCTGTCCACATCACAGGCTCCCAGGCTACACACACGCTTCGCGCCGCATGAATGCAAAGAAGCATCCACTTCACGCGGAAATTGCTGATATGTATGCCACTGTGAGTTGCCAACACCAAAGACTGCAAACTGAAGTCCTTCCAGAGCACCCTCCTTTTGTTTCAACAGCCATTCTTTGAATGCAACCGCATTGTCTGGAGGAAGGCCATTGTAGGTGGCTGTGACTACGATGACTGTGCGACCATCTGGCACTATGGAGCCTGCGGCAACAGCAGCGTCCAACGACTCCAATGAAGCTTGGAATCCAGCTTTGCCAGCCGAAGCCACCACCTGCGTTGCGAACTCTTGGCTGGAACCCGCGTTGGATCCGTAGAGAACTTTCATCATGGGGCTATCCTTGGTCTCCTTTCGGCCATTCGTACCTTCGATGGTGCCTGGGCTGGCCTTCTGGGCTTTTGGACTTTCAGGTCCCAAAGCAGGAAGTCGCCGCATGAGCCCTGAGTCAGTCCAAAGTGGGCCGCCGGGCCTTGGGTAAAGGATAAAGGCCAAGTCCTTAGGTGAAGGTGCAGCTCCACCGGCATGGGTACTGGCAACAATTTTGTAGCCAGGGATGCCTTCCAAACGGAAATGGAGCAACATGGATGCAAGAAAGGTCTTAGCCTCGAAGAGCGCGAACTGGCTGCCAATACATGAGCGGGTTGCGAAACCCCATGGATGGTATGCATTGGGATGCCTCTCCTTGACTGCATCTGGCGTGAATCGATCAGGGCTGAAAGACAAAGGGTCTCCAAATTTACCGCCCCAATACTCTGGATTTGTGTGAAGAGCCCGAGTGATGACAACGATCCGCTGTCCTTGGTAAACTCGGTGGCCCCCCAGCAAGGTATCATAGGCAGAATCGCGAGTAAGACTCGTGACGGGACTGTACAATCGCAAAGCCTCTCGGAAGCACTGCTCAACGAACTGCAACTTGGGAACATCATCCACAGTGGGTTCTGTCCTTCCCTGCAAGATCTCACGAACCTCTTGCAAAGCTCTGGCTTCATACTCCGGATGCTCTGCGAGCAGCTGCATGGTGAATCCTAGCGTTGCAGCAGTCGTTTCATGACCAGCAATCATGAGATTGACCACATGGCCATACAAAGCACCATACCGGATGTGCTTGCCATCTCCAGTCTTATCCTCAAGCATGGCTCTGATGATGGAGTTTTCTCCGCCCATCTCCCCTTCGCGCGTTGCTTCCACCATGTCTTCCACTTGCTTCTGCATGTCTGCCTTGGCAGATCGGTACTTTTTCACCAGCTTGGCTGCGGCGTCAAAGAATGGAAGATGCCGCTTCCATCCATATTCTGATTTGGCATTGATGCTTCCCGTTGACACGCCTAAACCAATCCGGAAATTGTCCACAAACGTGTGCGGCGGTTGCTTGGCTCCCAACCGCTCCACATTACGCATGTCCAAGCCCATGCTACACGTGACAACAGCATCTGCAGTCATGGCTGTCAGCCAGTCATTGACACCGTCCACTCGCTGGCCGGCAGGGAGCTGTGACCATTCCCGAATGAATGCCCGTGTCTTGGCCAAGATTTGCGGCGCAAAGCTTTTGATTTTGATTTGATTGAAGCCGCGTGGAAGGAGGTTATGGGCAGCTTTCCAATCCTCAGAAGTCTCGCTGCTTGTGAACAAGCCATTTTCAGTGAAATCCTGCAAACCTACTTGCGCTCGCCTGTTCCACAATTTGGGGAAGTCAGCCGCGCGAGCAATCAGCTCCTGGACTATATCTGCACTGGCCGACATGATGGTCACTGTGTGTGCATCATCATGAAACAAAGTACCCGCAGGGAAGTCACCGATTGACTCTTTTCGCCCACCGTTGTAGGAGCCAACTGATGATCCATAAGGGAAGCCGGCCGCGTTCGGTGGAAACACATTCCGGGAAAAATTGTACATTGGCATTGGGTCCGGACCCAAAAGCTGGTAGGTTGTTCCCACAAAAGGCAAGCATGGACCCGGGGATGAGAAGGCTGCAGCTGCAAAAGGAACATCGCTGGGTGAGGGCGGTTCACCTTTGGTGCAAACCAGCTCAACAACCTGTAACGCCTCAGGCTGCAGTGCGAGCTGCTGCGCTTGAAGAGAGGCAGTTTGTGTGAGAAGCACCAGTCGCACGCATGAACCGCTGTTCCGACGCTGCACGATGTAGAACTGCAGGCCCTCCATGTCTCCCAGACCCAAGGCTTGGGCTGTTGCTTGGCGGAGCTGGTCCAAGTCCGCTGCTTTGTGCAGCTTCACCAAGATCCACTCCTTGCAAACCAAAACGCATGTGACTCTAAGTTCTTAAGCATGGCTGGAATGATAACTACATGACACTTGCTCTCGCAACCCAAAACTCAGTGCATGGCCGACCGGTCTGGAACATCCAACTTTGCATGGATGGCCAAGTGGTACTCAAAAGGGCTGGACGCGGCTTGGCGCGTGGACTTTTGCAAGGACTTCTTGACGGCCTAAACAAGCTTCCCATCAAACATTTCTCACTTGTGACCCTGACCCTACCCAAAAATGCTGTCCTAACTGTGTGTTTGCTGGGGCACCCTCGCGACCAACACCAGACCTCAGATGCCGATTCGAATAGAAAACCATGTTTGGACAATTACGGTTCTGTTTTAACTTAGGTTGCTACGCTGAGTTGGCAGGTTTACACCTTCAACGGCCTGGGTACGCTCGTAATAAGACTCGAACTGCAAATGCCAACCTTGGAATTGTGGGGCAATACCAGTGCTGACACTGCAGAAGCAACAGCACGACACCGTCACGGTACAATGGGGTGTTGAGACCATGAATATGCCACAACGCTACGCCACGGTTCACAGTGCCCCGCGATAAGGCACGGCAAATCGGCTGAAAAATGGTGAAGGATGATCAGGACATGAGCGCACTTTGCAAGATGGATGGCAGCACCGACAGAGCCAGAAAGACATCAACACCAAATGGACACAACAAAACTGGCATCACGCTAATGAATTATGGATGGTGTTCCACGTTTGTTGCTGGCTTCACGTGTACTAGTTATCTTTGGCCAAGATCCCAGGTCAATCAATCCGCATGAACGGTAAGGGACTCATTTTGGTCCCCGCAACCCGGAGGGCCCGAGCTTTTGGCCCGGACGGCCCGGACTGCCCAGACTTTGGCCCGGACAACCACGGACTTTGACCCGGACGGCCCCGACTTTTGGCCCCGGACTCCCAATCGACAATGTAAAGACTCCTAACATTTCATCATACATCAGCCATGTACCACCCCACCCCTTAAACCGAACATACGGACTCCTCTACACCCCCCACCCCCTTAAAGCCAAAAAACAAAACCATGACTCCTAACTCTTCTTCAAACATCAGCCATCCAAACCCCGCCGCCCGCTTGCAGGGAACATATGGACCCCTGTACTCGCCACACAGCCCCCAACGAACGCGGACAGCCCGGGCTCCTGCCCCGGACTACTACCCCGCACTCCCAAGCGACAATATGAAAGCTCCGGACGGCCCGGACTTTGGCCCAGACGGCCCGGACTTCTACCCCGGACTCCCAAGCAATAATATGAAAGCTCCTAACATTTATTTCATCGTACATCAGCCATCTACACCCGTCTACAACCCCCCCCTTTAAAGCGAAAAAATCAAAGCCATGGAAGCTCCCCCCTCTCAAAGCAAAAAATCAAAGCCATGAACCCTAACACTTGAAGCGAACATCTGCACTCCTGTACGTCACACTACCACCAGCCCGGACAGCCCGGGCACCTGCCCTGGACTACTACTCCGGACTCCCAAACGACAATATGAAAGCTCCTAACACTTCATCATACATCAGCCATCCACACCACCCCTTAAACCGAACATACGGACTCCTCTACACCCCCCCCCCTCTTAAAACCAAAGAAATTCAAGCCATGAAAGGTTCTAACACTTGTTCAAATATCAGCCATCCAAACGCCCCACCCCTTTGAGGCGAACGTATGAACCCAGCACTTGGACTACTACCCCGGACTCCAAAGCAATATGAAAGCTTCTATCAATCATTTCATCATACATCAATAATCTACACCCCCACCACCCTTTTTAAAGACTTTGGCCCGGACGGCCTGGACTTTGACCCTGATGGCCCCGACTTTGGCCCAGACGGCCCGGACGGCCCGGACGGCCCGGACTTCCACCCCAGACTCCCACGGGACAATATGAAAGCTCCTAGCATGTCATCACACATCAGCCATCCACACCCAGGCGACAATATGAAATCTCCTTACACGTCATCATACATCAGCCAGCCAAACGCCCCCGGCGCCTTAAAGCGAACATATGGACTCATTTACTTGCCACACAACCCAACCCCAGCCTGTCCTGCCCCGGACCACTACCCCGGACCCCCAAGCGACAATATGAAAGCTGCTAACATGTCATCATACATCAGCCATCTACACCTCCCACCCCCTTAAAGCGAATATGCGGACTGCTCTACACCCCCACCCACTTAAACCGAAAAAATCAGAGCCATGAAAAGTTCTAACACTTCCTCAAACATCAGCCACCCAAACCCCGCCACCCCTTAAAGCGAACGCATGGACCCCTGTGGTTGCCACACAACCCCCAGCCCGGACTCTGACCCGGATGGCTCGGACTTTTACCACGGACTCCCAAGCGACAATATGAAAGCTCTTAACATTTCATCATACATCAGCCATCTACACACCCCTAACCCCTTCGAGCGTTCATATGGACCACCCCCCCCCAGTCCCCTTAAAGCCCAAAAGTCCCCTTCAAGCCCAAAAAAAATTCAGAGCCATGAAAACTCCTAACATTTCTTCACACATCAGCCATCCAAACCCCCCCACCCCCTTAAAGCGAACATATGGGCTATAGTCTAAACTCTTAGCATCCCCCTAATTAATAGCCCCTGTAGTGCTCCCCTTTACAATCCCTTATATATCCACCCCTTTGTGGAATTTAGACTACAGCTCATATGGACTCCTGCACTTGCCACACAAGCCCCAGCCTGGACTTATATCCCGGACTCCCTGATTTTGGCCCCGACGGCCCAGACCTTGGCCAGGACATTGGCTCGGACATTGGCCCGGACATTGGCCCGGACGGCCCAGACCTCGGCCCAGACGGGCCACACGGCCCGGACTTTGGCCCGGATTTTGGCCCGGACTTTCTGGCCCCAAAGATCGGACGGCCCGGACTCCCCAGACTTCAGATGCCCAGCCCGGATGCACGGGCTGGATCGCAGACTCCTGGCCCGACTCCTGGCCTTGGCCCCACGGCGATATTCTGGGAAAAAAGAAGCAAAAAAAACATTAATAATGTGTAGTCCGAAAAACCTTAAAATGTGTAGTCCGAAAATCAAAAAAAAACTGGTTTAGGCATGAGGCGTCATTGTTCACATTATCCACGAAGCATAAACTTTACAACTGTAGAAGGCGGGAAGTTCAAGCACCCTTTTTCCAGCGGATTTCTAAACAGATTTCTTCATTAGCCGGGCAAGCTGAGTTTTGATTGGCAGCGCGTGCGACATGTTTCCCGTTTTCAACACACCAGAGAAGCATTCATGGATTCATTGTTGCTGCATGGCATTTTCTGTTGTTTTTGTTGTGACCTGGAATGATGTGTGCAAGATTGAATTTGGATGACGTACACAATCATGGCAACCAAGCAGTGTTCAAACCAGTTCGGTCGAGAGCCTGATGGCGGAATCGGCAAAGCCATCCCGTGCCCCTACTTGAGCAGGGATACAAAGTCTCCTATTGCTCGTTGCAGGTGGCAAGCCGGACGTTTTTTTGACCTGGGCTTACCACCAACGAACACCCTCGCCACAGTCGGGGTGTCTGCGTGTTCTTTTGTTAAGGGCTCCATACGAATCAGAGGCTATCTGGAGGTTCATATGCCGTCCGGAGCAAGAATCCAAGCTGGGGGTTGTGTAACAAATGCAGGAATCCATATGCTCGCTTTAAAGGGGTGGGGGGTGTAGATGGCTGATGTATGATGAAATGTAAAAAGCTTTCATGTTGTCGCTTGGGTGTAGATGGCTGATGTGTGATGAAATGTTAGCAACTTTCATATTGTCGCTTGGGAATCCGGGGTAGACGTCCGGGCCGTTCGGGCCGTTCGGGCTGGGGCTTGTGTGGCGAGTGCAGAGTCCATATGTTCGCTTTAAGGGGGCGGGGGGGTTTGGATGACTGATGTATGATGCAATGTAAGAAGCTTTTTATCGCTTTAAGGGGGTGGGGGGTGGTGTAGTCCATATGTTCGCGTTAAGGGGGTGGGGGGTGTAGATGGTTGATGTATGATGAAATGTTAGGAATTTTTGAAGTCCGGGCCGTCCGGGCCAAAATGTTAAAGGGGGTGGGGGACGATAGATGGCCTGATGTATGATGAAGTGTTAGGAGCTTTCATATGGTGGCTCGGGAGCCCGGGGTAATAGTCCGTGGCGGGAGTCCTGGCTGTCCCGGC